TCTTACTCATAAATGCCCTTTGAGGCATTCTGCTCCCTCACCCCCAAAGAGGGCATTTCATGTGCATAAAACATGTTTGTGTAGATATCCTTTTTTCTCAATGATCTTTGAAAAGATATCTGGGAACTCCCCATTGGTTAGCAGAAGTGGCTTCTCCTGTTATCATGACATTTCTTAAGCAAAACATCTTTCTAAAATTATCAAACCATCCTTTGCTGGCATCAAATTCTCTAGGTTTAGATCTGGTCCTTCACCTTCCTTTTGCTTTAAGTTGTCGTATAATAACCTTGCTTTTTCTCAAATCATATTAGAATTTATAGCAATCCTGCCCCCACATCAAATTTGTGTTTTCAAGATAAGATATGAAGGTATTTCACAAAATTTACAAGGTTGCTGCTGGCATGATTTCACAAATCTCCTTTTCTTTTTCTTTTTTTTAGTTCTTTTTTTAATCTTTTTTTATGGTTTGGAAGTTTATCTTATCATTTTTTATGGCAAAAAATGATAAAATAAACTAATACATAGTTTGTGCATTCATGGCATATGTTTTTCTTAATTTTCTGATATTTCTAGTCTATGAGGTTCATCTGGGAATTTCAGATTGTTGCAAATTGTCTAATGTACAGAGGATGCTGAATATATATATATTATATATATTAAACATACATACGTAATATATATACACACACATTTTAGGAAAGGAAAGAACTGTATTAAATTGTGATACTCAAGTCATGTTTGACTTGTCCAATTATAAAAATGTGCTCAATGTGACATGTATTTGTCCTTTATTATTGATATATATTGAGTATCACAATTTTAATAGTTTTCTCCTTTCTTAAAATGTGTATACTTTTTTGGGAACCCTCTGTACTTACTGAAAGATATCCACAGGCATGTGAATCTACACATTTCAAATTCATGTTGTTCGGGGTCAGCTGGAACATTTTACTGACTCCAGTGATTCAAATGCTAGTCTCATCTGGAAATATCCTCACAGATGCACCAGAAGCCATGTTTAAGCTGGGGATCTTGTGACCCACTCACATTGACACATTAAGTCAACCATTGCAGACGTGTACATCTGATTAACTGCTGGGCATCTTCCTCTGGCTGGCTCAGGCGTCATGTGCACTGTGTGTGTGACTAGAGCTTACCTGGCTGTGCTCTCTCACGTGGCTGCCTCCCTGCCTGCTGCCCAGCAGAAACCTGGTATTCCTCCTTTCTGTCCCTTTATCAGCTTAACCAGTGGTCCCTAACCCGTTTGGCAGCGGAGATCAGTTTCACAGAAGACAATTTTTCCATGGACCAGGGTGAGGATAGGGTTATAATTTTCATATGCGTCTGCAAGCAATTGATTTATTATAGTCCCTGCAATTGATGTATTGTAGTCCCCGACCTCTTTGCTAATGCTAATCTGTATTTGCAGCTGCTCCCTGGTACTAGGATCACTACCTCAGCTTCAGCTCAGCTCATCAGGCATCAGATTCTTAAGGGCAGTTTACAATAGTGTTCATGCTCCTATGAGAATCTGATACTAGATCTGCCAGGAGGTGGAGCTCAGGCAAGGTGCAAACAATGCGGGAACAGCTGTAAACATAGATGAAGCTTTGTTCATTGGCTGCCGCTCATCTCCTGCTGTGCAGCCTGGTTCCTAATAGGCTATGGACAGGTACCAGTCTCTGGCCCAGAGTTGGGGACCACTGAGCTAATAGATTCACCACACACCTGTTTTTCTAAGTCAAAAGACTCAGAGTCATCTTGAGCTAACTTTCCTACCCTTTAGCAACCACCTAGAACATGGATCTTAGTACTTCTAGCTCAGAAATATCTTTAAAAACCTACCCAGTTCTTTGCCCACATTTTTCAACTGATGGTTACAACAGTCTTTTAATTGGATTCTCACCATCCCTCTGCCCTTCATCACGCCAGTACATCTTCAGCAGAGCTGTTAGTCATTTAGGTTACCAGCCCAGAGCATCTCCTTATCCCCTGCAGGGTCTGCACTAACCAGAAAAGGACAGATTCCAGTCTGGCTTACGGGAGGGATCTTAGTTGCATGTCTTGGCCATGGTGGAGCTGTGGGTAGAGGCAAGGAGACAGGTCAAGCTTGGATCATGCAAATTAAGCACTTTTTTCCAGCAGTAAGAAGTGGTCCAGGATTAGAGCTCCCTCATCACCTGGGCCAGGCTACTCCTGTGACAAGCAATGGGCATTATAATAAGAGAGGAGGAATGAGCCTGGCAAGCCAGCCTTTCCTGTCGATTTGAAGTTTGTCCTGGGAGCTCTCACCAGTAACCTCATCTTCTCAGCTCATGGCATCTTCAGGTCACGTAACAGACAGATCTGGTGCTCCCTGGGTCAGGGCACTAAGGATATTAGTTTGGTTTAAGTGTCTTTTTGAGATTGATCAGATGAAAACCAAGTTTACCTAAGAATTCCACATTGAGTAGGAAATAGGGAGAGCAGTGTGTCCTAATTTGAGAGGAAAGGCAAGTTACCTTGGATTGGTGTTAGCCCCGGAAGGCCATGTGGTGAGATACCGACAATGCTATCTAATGGGGAAGCCCAAGGGGTGAGGAGTATTGGCAAAGATGGGTGTGGCTTTGGGTCCCTGCTCCTGCACTTAGCAATAAGCCAAGCCTGTTTTAGTCCACGTGAAGTCTCCACTCACTGAAATTTATTTGTAACCCCCAGATTAGTATTTTTAGTGATTTCATGGTCATTTGTGGACATTTGCAGAGTGTCAGAAATTGGAGTGACTGGTGTGCCTGCACTTTGCCAACTGAGGTCAAACGATGTCACCTCTGCCTTCTTGTTTCAGCTCTCAGACTTTTAATGGCCATGTTTACTTATAATTGTGTTTTTCAAATTTTTGTGCTTTTTGGTGGCAATTTCACTATATAAATGTCCCTAGGTATAGCACTAAAACGCAGTCTAGTGTTCCTAAGTGCAAGAAGGCAGAGGTGTGCCTTGTGGAGAAAATACATGGCTGTTGGCTGTGAGTTCAGCGTTAAGACGTCAGCAATATGGTACATCCTGAAAAAGGAAGAGGAACGTCACCATCTGTACATCAGGCTAGTCTGGAAAGTGCTGAGGTGACACCTATACTGTGTAGTAAAAAGGTGGAAAAGTGGCTACATTTGTGAATTTATGAGATGACAACTGGTTTTTTTAAAGTACAGTAAAAAGAGCATTGTTATAATCATGTTACCCAGGGTCAGAGAAGTGTTAAATCCTTCTTGGCTAAGGTTTTCTTACAGATAAATGCTGCAGATGACTGGTTTGTAAGAAATACATATTAAATAAGGAATCTTTATACAGAAACATAATGAAAAGGTCACGTAGGGGTAGAATGACAAAGACATTGTAGGCTCAGAGGAACCTAACCCTGTATTTCCCCTCGGAGCAATGGTTCAGTGTTCACAAATCCAGTCTTCACGACTCCATAGAACAGAACTACCGTGAATAAAGAGAATGAACCACATATCACTGTTTCTGCTTCACACCGTGTCTTCTCTGTACACACACTTTGGCTTCCCAGTGTCCCACTCCTGTTCACTGTTAAATAAAAGTGTGCTGAAGAAACACATGCTCTGTGTAGGGGAGCTCGCTTCAGGGATGCAATATTGCTCGGAATCAGGAGTTTCCACTGTGATGAGGCAGATGTGGGCTGGGAGTCATCTAGGTGGCCTGATGGGTAGGCTTGGCTTGTTAGAATGAAAGTAAACACTGTCTTTAAGAAAATCTACAAAGGATGTAGTCCACCTAAGGAATGTCAAAAGTTGCACGTTGTCAGTTGTTCAAAGTTCATGGCTTTGCAACCTTACTGTGCCTCAAGGTCAGGTATTTATTTCTTTAGTCTTTGTGTAGTCATACCAATTGATTTTGCTTTTGAGTCTGCATGTGACATTCCACTTGGCTAGACTCTATGTTATTCTTTTGCCTTGTTTTGCTGAGTGTAATTCACAAGACCAGTTTTTCTGTGACCAACAGGAGAAAGAACAATTTCATATCTAAGAATTTCATGAAGTATGTTTATAATCGAACTTGAGTTCATATGATCCATGTACCCAGGACAATTTTTGCAGCCTGTGGATGCTAAAATGACAACCATCTTCTCTTCTTTCATATAGAAGGGAAAAGGGGGCCACTGAATCCCTCCTTTGCCTACTAGGAAAGTAACACTTTCAAGTAATGGGAGAAGGTAGTGGGGAGATGAGCAGAGAGCAGGCTTGGGATAATTTTTATGGGGGAATATGACCTTTTGGGCATGGTTTTTGAAACCTGTAGAATGTTTGGGAGTTCCTGCTTGTTTAGTTAGGAGTTATTGTTGCTGTTTTTGACAAGTAAATCTCTGACAGAATAAATACCACGATGGAAGGGAAAGGTTCACAGTCATTTGTGGCTACTTTTCATGGGCTAGTGGTGCAGCGTTATGGTATTTCACCAAATCTGATTTCTTGTCCACTCAGCAAAATGTAGCTAACGAGTTCACTAAATCTTAAAAAAAATCACTATAAATATGTTTTTATAACTTCTATACTTAAGAACAATGAAACGTAAAAAAATCAAACTCCCTACCTATCACTTCAGTGGCTTAGACCAGGGGTCCTCAAACTTTTTAAACAGAGGGCCAGTTTACTGTCCCTCTGACCACTGGAGGGTCAGACTGCGGGCCCTGAGACCAGTCGGCTGCTAAGCAGGACAGGCTGCGGTGGCAAAACACTTGGCAGGCCAGATAAATGTCCTCGGCAGGCCGTATGTGGCCCATGGGCTGTAGTTTGAGGTCGCCTGGCTCAAACCTAGGTCAAGGTAAGCAGACTGTAGTGAATGTTCTTTGATGACAACATTCTTATATTTTAGGATAATACTGACTACAGACAGTACCAAAGATTTAAGGTCATGGCAAGCTACCTTAGGAAGAAATCTTCCTCATGAAGCAGGTTTTCTACTCACAGGATGAATCATGAAAAATCAACATCTATTTCATAGAAAATAGGAAATATTTAATGTATATAAATTTATTTGCCTTGGCAATTATCTATTTACAATTAATGATTGATACCAACAATTGAGGTAAAAATATACATGAGGTATAAATATAATATTTAAAATGTATTATACTTTATTTCCATTGGCAAGATAACAATGAAGAAAATACTGTGGTATTCGATGAATAAGCTTGATGCATCTTTTTTCTCGTTTTTTTCCCTTCTTTTTTTATGAAGATGCACTGTGTTATTATGCAGCAGTGATGTGATTAGTATGTGCATAAAAATATTAAAAAGTCAGGTAATTTTAAGAGGAGGGAGTCAGAAGGACAATCCTATTTGTTTTCATTCTGTTTTAAGCATCCTCTTGATCCTCATTTCTCAGAGTGTGGTTTGGGGCCAGCAGCAGGGCCATTCCTGAGGTTCATTAGAAATGCAGAATCTCAGGCCCACCTCAGACTGCTGAATCAGAGTCTGCATCTTAATAAGATCCCCAGGCGATTTGGTACATGTTAAACTTAAACTTGGAGAAGCGCTGCTTTGGGTGCTACATGACATTCACCCTTGTGTGCCTATAATATCTTCCAGACACATGGGGTCCTGTCTCTGGAGCCCGACCAGTGTTTAGCTGGACTTCATCGAACTTCACTAATGATCTTGTTGATGCATATAAGGTAGCCCAGCATAGGAGGTTAAATTTAAGATGCTATGGCAGAAGCAAATTTCTTTTGCTCACAGAGCATTGCCCAAATGGTAAATTACAGATTTGCTGCCACCTTTTCAGGTAGATGGGAGAAGGAAAAATTCCTAGGTCGTAATTCAACAGGACAATTTCCTTGCAGCATACCAAACTCATATATAGCTTTTTGATTCATCTCAATACCATAATTGCACCTTGTTGATAACAGAAAATATTACATACATGTATATGATATCAAAAAATACCTGGGAAAAAACTTTTGTTTTTTCTATTTCTTCTCCAACATCCATTGCTAAATCAGATATCAATCTGTTACGGACAACCAAAAAAAAAAAAAAGTCTCTCCCTGAAACCAAACACAGTAAGTTATTCTTCTCTCAACTGTTGTTGAATTACAATAACAAAACCAACTTAAATCCAATAGCAATTGGCTAAAGAGAGTCCATTTGCTTAGCTCATACAACAATAAATAAGGCTGGATCAAAAGCATAGGTAGCTTGAAATTTCTAATGAAGAAACACAGAATTAATAAACCTGATTATATTTTCTAAAACTAATTAAAGAACATAGTTTTGGTCTTATGTTAGTTAGAAACTCTGCCTTTTAAATCAGAATATTTTAATGAATTATATTTTAAGAGTATAATATATAGCAAAATGTGAATTCCCTGAAGCTGTAATGATCCAGAACTCTTGAATTGAATGACCTTCATCTCCCTTTGTGTGATGTCCAGACTTAAATTCAGTGCAATACATTGGTAGGAAAATGCCAATTAACTGTGACCAAATGGGCCACTGGTCAAATAAAATAACATTTAACAACATTATAAAATGTACTTATGAAAACAAGAGACGACACAGAGGCTCCCTTTGGCTGTGAATATGTAAAGGCGATTGTACTATCTTCAGCTCTGCTGGGGGGAAATATCACTTCCATTTCAGTCACTGACACTGACTCCAGGGGGCCACTGAGGTCTGATAGCTCACGGATTGCGTCTGGCTGGGCTTTGGATTTGGTGATGACCTCTCACCCACTGCTTTGCTTTAAAGTAAAGTAAATATCGTTTCCCTGTTTTTTCCCAACATTCTACTTTCAGTTTTTGAATAACAGAAACAAACTATTGACATATGAGAAACTCTTTGGTTAGACATCAGGGCAGTTTCACACCTCGGGGCTAGCAGCAGGCTCCATGCAGCTGGGAGGACAGTGGGAAGATGGGGCCCAGAGTCACCTGGATAGAACAAGGTGAGGAAAGGACTCACCGAGTCAAACAAGGTCCTTTTTGAAACACTCAATTCCATATAAAATCGGCATTTTACATATGTACAGTAAAGATGGGGATATGCACACATGTGTACATACGCTGTACACACATTTATTTACAGTTAAGAATATGCTTCTTAGAAGCCTTTAAATAGCAAATTAGGCAATACACAAGAAACAATCCATTTAATTTTAAGTATCATAGATAAATGTTCAGGTTTTAAAAAATATATTAGGGATATAGCCATCTCCAGGAAGGCTAGGAAAGTTTTCAGAAATTCTCGCATCTTTAACATTCTGACTTTTCTGTGTCTCTGTTTTTAAGATTCACCACGTCCGTCAGCTCCTCTTCACCTTGCTCTCTCGCACACACTCTGCCACCAGCATTCGCTGTAGCTTCCTCTTCCCTGAGTTTGAGGTCATGCTGGGGGAAAACTCAGATTTTAGTTTCTGGACCCTCAGCAATGAGGGGCTGGAAAGAGTTTCTAATCCTGGCAACTTCCACTGCGCACAACTGTCCGAAGCCTTTGCTGTACCATTCAGGAGAGCGGCCTCTGCAGGAAAAGAAAGCAGAAAGGAAACGGGAATGTTTTTTCCCAAATCACAGTGACTTGTCATAGCAGAGGGGGCTGGCCCTGGGCTATGAGGACTGGTGGACTCACATACAACCCAGGGCTGCTACCTTGAATTCTGGAGGACCTCATTCTGTCACCAGGTGCCCTCAAAATGTCTTGCCTGCCAAGTACTCACACTGTCTGTTAAGTATTCAATGGATGCTTTAAAATGATACCAACTCAGGGGTAGGGAACCTGTGGCCTGAAGGCCACATATGGCTTCTAGGTCCTTAAGTGCAGCCTTTTGACAGAACCCAAATTTTATAGAACAAATTTTTATTTGTTTATTTTTATTAACACTTTTTTTTTTGAGACAGTCTCACTTTGTCACTCTCAGAAGAGTGCTATGGCATCATAGCTCACAGCAACCTCAAACTCTCAGCTTAAGTGATTCTCTTGCCTCAGCCTCCCAAGTGGCTGGGACTACAGGTGCCCACCACAATGCCCAGCTATTTTTTGGTTGTAGTTGTCATTGTTGTTAGGCAGGCCTGGGCTGGGTTTGAACCTGCCATCTCCAGTGTTTTTTGCTGGTGGCTTAGCCGCTGAACTACAGGTGCCGAGCCATATTTTTATTAACACATTTTTATCTTTTACATTTTTATTTTACTTTTAACATTAGTGTATTTAAAGTACCAAAGATTAAAATAAATTTCACAAAATAATCTTCCACAGACTGATCAGCACAATTAGAACATCAGTAAGCCATAAGGGCTAAACTGACGGCTGCTACACTCATGATTTAGCTCTAACGTCCCCTGCATGACTGGCCCCACTACTGCATGAGTCTGGTTGGTGAGAGTTTATGGGGGTTGAGTACACCAGTCTGTTATCAGCTTCGGACAAAGGTGCTTTGCATTTGTTTGAAGAGGAATTTGTGAACAGTTGCACAGCTCCACAGTAATTTTTCATTCTGTCTGCTTAACTGCCCATCAAGCTAAAGAAGACCAAGAGAATACAAGAGAAAGAAAACAGGTTTTTTAATGAGGATTGGGAATTGCAATATTTACTTGTTTCTGCTAAAGATAAGATGATTTGCTTCTTTTGTGATACTGCAATACCAACATTAAAGAAATTCAGTGGGCATCAGCATTATAACACTCAGAAGGACCACAGATATCATAAATCGGAGGGAAAGGTTGTATTGCAGAAGTTAAAAGGATGAAAAGCAAAAGCAAAGACAGTTCTTTAAAGCACCAATAAGACTTGGAAATGATGCCACTGAAGCAACTTATTAAGTAGCTTATTTAAAAAAGGAAGCAATTTACTGATGCAGAAATTGTGAAAGAACACATCATTGAAGTTGTAGGATGCTGAGACCCTGATAACGCTGCCTCTTTCAAGGAGAACCGTAACTGACTGGTAGCATAAATTAGCCTTCAATTTAACAGAATTTCATGTAATCCTTCAAAAGGAAAATAGAAAATATTCAATTACGTTGGATGAATCAATTCATACTACTGACACAGCACAGCTTTTATACTTCACTCCGGTCATAACAGAAGATTTTCTTGGCTATGAAGAGTTACTCACTTGGGCACTCATGGGAATAGAACACAAACAATAGCTATCTTCAACAACTTTCAAGATAAATGTCATGCAGTTGGAGTGACTTTGGTAAACTGAGGAAATGTATGTGCCGACGGTGCACCTTCCATGACAGGAAAACATGAGGGTTTATTGTATAGATAAGAAAATAGCATCAACAGATTCAGATGCTTTCATTTCTTTTCACTGTACCTTGCGCCAGCAAAGTTTCTGTGGTACCATTTTAAGTGACACTTTGTGGTAGGTTATAAGTATTGTTAACTATCTTTGTGCAAATGCGACACGGCATCATCTGCATAACATGCTGAAGTTGAAGGATGAGGTATTTAGTGTGGATCTGCCGTATCATTCCAAATCATGCCGGCTGTTGCAGGGACAGGTATTAGTTAACATTTTATCTCTGTGAGAATAGCTAGTTACATTTTGTGAAGAAAAGACTCAACAAAGTGACTTACTACAGGACGATTTCTATAGGAACATAGCATTTCTGTGTGATATCATGTTAAATCAAAACTACTGTTTTCTTTGCTAGGAAACCAAATCTATATGTGATGTGTGGCAAAAATTCCAAGCATTTTGAAAAAAGCCATCTTTTTTTCAAAACACTTCTTTAAAAGGACATTCTGGCTGAGCATTTTCCCTAGTTAACAAAGCCACTGATGAACAGGATGATATATGTGAATCATCTGAAGAATACGCAGCTGTTCCAGGCCTATTAACTGAAGAATGTAAGGAGAGACTCATTGACATTCAGAATCATGACATCACACTCAAATTAGCATTTCAGCCTCACCTAGGTGGGATCACCAAGACACCTAAAGCACTACAGATAGAACTGAATGAGCTCTCAGGACATGACATTTAAAGCCATCATTTGATGCTAAGAAAGATCCAATGGAAATATGGAAAGATGATGCAGAATACTCACATCTTCAGCAATATGCCTGAAAAATGCTTTCTTGCTTTTCAGCCACCTATTGCTGTGACTCTACCTTCTCCTGACTCACTCAAATCAACATGTCCTTAGGACACAAATGCCTGATCTCCATCTAGAGGATCAACTGACACTGGAGACCTCCACGTTGCAACCAAATATTCAAATGCTTTCCAACAAAAAGCAGACACCACAAAGTCATTACAAAGTCATTAAAAGGCTACGTAACTTTAAAATTAACAAGTAGCTTTCATTTTTGAAATTATTAATTAGATTTTTACAAAATAATGCACATTTTAAGTATATCTAATTGAAGTTTCTTGAATGTGGCCTTATTTGATTACAACTAAATTAACATGGCCTTCCAATGCAAAAGGTTCCCCAGGTTCTCAGGTTTTACTGAGAAAACTCAATTTATATCCACCCAGACCAGGAACCTGGTTTGTCATCACGAAAGCCTCGAAGGGGTTGCATTTAAGTCAGTTTCTTCTCAGAGAAGGGCAAACAGACCGGGCCGCCCCCGGGGGAGTCATTAGTGCGGCCAAGAGAAGGCAACTGGGGTTCGCTGAGCACCCGCTCTGCCCCGCGCTGGGCCGCTTGGGTGTGTTTCTTTCATGGGAGCAACACAGACATATAAATGGCTTGAAACAGGAAATAAAGCAAAGCAAAGGGCTGAAGGAAAAATGTCTGAGTTCAGGATACAGGGAGAGAGAGCGAGGAGGCGTATGTAGTCCTTCACGAATGCAGATTCACGGTAATGAGGAAAACAGGATTGTGAAATAAGACATCAGGGCGACAGACAGGGCCCTGGAGAAGCTGCCCGGACTCTGGAGACCCGCACCTGCCATCTCGGGAATTAGCACTTACTTCAGGTCTATCCTGGAGATGTGGGTCAGTCTTGACTTGCCAGAGCCACACGGTTCTATTAAGTACTGGGAATCCATCACCACGGCCCGTACTCCGCCCAGGAGTGGGGCTTCCTCGTGCTCCACAGACAGGGACACCAGGGTGCACATTCCTTTGGGCAAATCAGTCTTCCAGGTCCTGTAGCAAAACAACCCACACCTCAGAGTTATGGCTGAGAGAGAAAGAAAGCCCTGCCCACAGAGCTAAAGTTCATGCATTTATTTTCCTGTCCAAACCCTGGGCTCGAATTCCAATGCCAGTTACTTGGATTAAGCTAATGGTTTCCACAAACTTGTGTAAAGTTTATATAGCACAGTTCAAAGCAAAGACCTCAGCTCCTGGACTCAGAGGCCAGAAAATGGTTTTGCAGCTTTCAGATCTGCATTTGGAACCCCCAACTGGGGCCCAGCCCTGCTCCACTGCCATGGCTCCTGTCTGTTATGGGAGAGGGATTTTACAGTTCAGGAATTAGGACTCGCTCAGGGAATTTATTCAGCAGACACCTGGTAAGCACACAGACGAACCAGACTCTGAAAAGCCACCCAGACCACGCAGATACACACAGCCTAGCAGGAAAAACTGGCAACTCTGAAAAGGATTCTAAAAACAATGTGGCCAGTATAGTGATAAGGCCATGGTGGGCTCTGGGACCATGTGGGGACCCTGGGGGCAGCATCCCAGAGGGGCTGATGCTTGATCTGAGTCTTCAAGGATAAATGAACAAGTGATGCTTAGCTTGAAGAAAACAAAGATGGGAGGTTTGACAATTAAGTTCGTGAATTCATCCTAGGAAAAGCGCTATGTACCCCACTTCTGAGTGTCACTATGGTCACCAGATGGCCAAGGGGAGCACTTCAAAGGGGACGGTAGGGATATTCAGCAATGAGGTATGTAGAGCTTTTTCTAGGATGACTTCATGAACTTAACTATCAGACCTTGTATGTGGACCTGCTAATTATCTTCAAATGCTGGAAGATCCTTGCGTGGGAGAAGATCTAAACAGAGTTGACTCCAGACGGCAGAGGAACAGGAAGGCACCTTTCGGATCAGCATAGAGAAGAGATGTACAAAAACCTGCACCACCCCAAGTGGGCAGGAGTCAGGACCCACGAGAGCATCTGCAGGGCAACCTCTAACTCCCCTTACTACCACAGGAACCGATAACAATGGGATGTCTTATTAGAATTCCTGTTACTTACTTCACAAATCCTAGTCCCTCTCTTAGGTGACTCTGTCATAACATGTCCTGCCACACTAGGAAGAGAAAACACTATACACACCCCACAGAAGGAGGGAAGGACTCGGCCCCACACAGGTGCTCAGCAACTTCCCGGTGGCTGTGGCCACTCTCTTCCCATGCTTGACAGCATGATAAATAGTGAAGACTGACAGCCACAAAGATTGGGGGAATACAAAGGGGAAATCTTCAGAAACTCTCTCCCGAGGAGGTAGAGATGGATTTTCTATGAGAAACAAGCAGGGTAAACCTGGAAGGTGACCAGCCTCATACGTGCTGGCCTAGATGGTGATGTTCTGAAGACATGATGTGTCTCAAGCCCGGATGTCCTCACCATGAGTGTCACTCTCCACCTTCTCTTATCACACACAAAAAGAATCCTGTGGGCAGGTGTGGTTCACTGTTAGCCCTCTGGGGAGACTCATGGTCTCTGTACCTTCTCCCCAAGCCTTGGATCAAGTACACTTCAGTGAGACTCAGCCCTGACAATGATATTTAAATTCTCTCCTCTCATATCTCACTCTCTCCCTATCTACTTACTCACTCTGAGGATTAGTAAACCCATCTTCTATTTTTTATAATTTACTGACCTTCTCTCCCCCATAAAATATGACCCGCCAGAGAGCAGGACAGTGGTTAGTTGTGTTCACTGCTGCATCTCCAGCGCCTGTGACAGTGTCTGGCACAAGGCAGCGATGGAATGCCACTCTAATCAACAGCAGGCTGGGGGAACTGCCAGACCAATGGAAGGAGAGGGGTTTCCAGGCATAGCCCCCAGCCCTCAGGCTCCTCTGGAGCGAGGCAAGAGACACACTACATCAGGGTTCCAGGCCTGTGGCTGTCATCCTGCAAGAACTGTTCAACAATTCAATTTTCCTGAGAGTGGAGGGGTGAAGGTTGACTCCCTAAGCTACCTGGATAACTGCCCACATTCTCCACCAGGATCCCAAGGATGCTGAAATACACATATACTTAGGGAAAACTGACTTTTAAAAGTCAAGGTTCCAAGGACTAAATCCAGAAGCATAAAGAGCCCAAGTGAAAAGCAATCTTCAGTTTGCCATCAAAACTAGTTTCATAAAGAAACTCTTTAAAATAAACATTTGGGAATTTCATCAGTGGTTCCTTTTACGCTGCTGATCTGTGAGATGAGTCAAAGTTTGCCAAAGTTTTTAATTAAAAAAAAGGATACATTGGCTTAATTACATTTTATGTAATTTCTTTAGTATCCCCAGTCCCTGTTATTTCTGATGCAATACTACATTTGTAAAATTGTGCAGACTTCCTATTGTTGGTTCCAAACCTAGAGAACAGGGGTCTGGAACTCAACCCACCAATCAATCAGAAGTAATATTTCAATGGCAGATGCAAGAACTCAGCAAGCCTTGTCAGGTCCTGAAATCTGATGATATGTCCAAATGTCTCAGCATGTTGGACCTTCAGGGTTGTGCCAAGTATGGTAATTAGTTAGAAACATTTAAAATTACTCAGATGAGTTTTGAAGTTATACATGCCACCAGCCTTGAAAGTTACACAAACTGAAGACTTGCTTTCCCAGGGGTGGGGGAGGAGACACAGAGAGAAAAGCAGATAAACTGGCTGACAGTGCAGCTGGGCAAACATCAGCTCTGCTCGGGCCTCTGTTCTGAGGAAGTCAGCAGTACTTATGGCCTGATAACCTGTGTGCTCCAGGGAGCTGGGCACAAAACACAGCGAAGGCAAGCCTCTCCGAGGGCAGTGAGGGCCGGTTTAGTGCTCCCAGGGAAGCTGGACGTAGGTGGGAGACTCCACGAAGTGCTGACATCTCCAGCTCTCACCTGCTTGTGGAACAGAATATCATAAACCCCAGAGTTGGCCTTACCTGAGAACCACAAAGTCTCTGGAGGGATGGGGGGCCATGCTGTTCAACACGTACTGGTAGATTTCTGTCTGTCTGTCCAGAGTTTCCACAACCTTCCACTGCACGAAGTCCTCATCCCACAGGTGGCGCTCTCTCAGCACCCGATTCAAGACCACGGACGGGGGAGCTTCCACCTCTGCAGAGGCCTTCCACAGCTTCAGGGGGCTCCCGTCCCCCACCTGGGGGAAGACGGAACCGTCAGAAGCTGAAGAGGCCATCTGGGTCTAACAAAAACCTACCATACGTTGCTGGGCGTTCAAAAACCGTCACTGATGATGTGAGTCAAAAGAGTGATGCTGCCTACTTCAGGTTTAACATTTACAAAGTTTAATCCTTAAAACAATAACGATGATGAAAATAATAACCACCAACACACAAAGTGCTCACTGTGTGACAGGCACCATTCTAACCCATTTGATCATCAAATAGCCCTTCTCTGATCATGGAACTTGATTAATGCTTGTTTTGCAAATGAGGAAACTGAGGCACAGAGCGGTGTGTGACCCAGCTAAGGGCCCACAGGACTGGGATCCAGCCATCTGGTTCTGCAGTCAGCACCCTGATGACACACAACAGGTTGGTGAGTGGTCTCTAGACTATGCCTTGGAAAAGTACAGGTGCCTTAACCGTCTAGGTGTGTGCCAAGTAAAAACAAATTCCTGGTTTCGAGATGTGACTTTTTGAAGGTAATTTTCTTCCATGCCCTGAGATTACCTTTTTGAAAGCAAGATCTGTATTGTCCATGCTGGGGCACACGACCCATCCTTTGAACTTCTCTTTGGCTTCCTTCTGGAGGCTTTGAATGAGATGCTCCAGGTAAGTGTGGAAAGTTGCCCCACTCTCCTCCAGCTGTGCCCCTAAGTCTTCCAGGGTTGGTGCATGGATCTCAGCTTCCATATAGGAGCTACGGGACTGGGTCACCATCTCATGTGGGACCTGCACCAACAGATACAAGAAAGAGCCACATACTGAAATTAACAGAGAAAACAAAACCACTTCACCAACAACCCAGGTCTGCGCAACAGGCTGAGGGCCTCAGGGATGGAGATGTTTTTCTTAAGATCAGTGCCAAGGCCAAGAGGGGCCTTCCTGAAGTCAGGAAATGCAAATATGTGTCTGTGGCTATATTTATCATTCAAAACATTGCAGTGACTTCCCATTCATTTTTTCCATTCTCCTTTTATTTTACTTTCAATGTCCTTTTATTCTGTTTGGCAAAATGTAGGCTTAGACAACTCGACCCACTGTGAAGAGACTTAAAGCACATACAAGGAACATCAAATGTGGCTTAGGAGCAGCTTTACCTTTTTAGCACACTTTCCCCAACTGCACCACGAAAAGGTATGTCAGAAGTCTGGCTTGCCTCTTTGACGTATCTGTACCTATATTCATAAGCCATCATCGGTTCTTAGCCACAAGGATTGCTCAATATCTCATATACTCCTACACAGATGCGGAACCTATTCGAGTCCCGAGGTAAATCAAATATAATTGTACTTGCTGACTGGCCTTGAAGCTGACGATGGCAGGTGACAACTGTTTGCATGAAAACCGTCAGTAGGGTAAGCCTGAGTGTCTTGATCAAAGCCTCCAACGATTTCTAGCCAGCTCCTCACATTTCTTGGAGGCAAAGACCAGAGCTATAGAGTGTACTATTGTCATTATAGAATCAGGAACAAACAGACAGAAACCATAAATGTAGCATCCATCCCAAGCGTCTCATCCAGTTCCAAGAGCTACAAGGGAGGTGGTGGTTAGAGCCTTCCGCTCACCTCAAAGAGGCTGTCGCATTCCAGGATCATGTGCGCCAGCCCCTGGGCAGCGGCCAGGTTCTCGTTGAGGTCCTTTTGATCAGGCTTCCCAGTGGCATATTTCTTCTGGATGACTCTGTAATTGAATGTGAGTGTGCTCAGCAGATCCCACACCAAAGAGCTTGTCACAGTCCCCAGCACGTCCCTTTTGTTTTCTGTTCATACCCAGATGCTATCCAGATCCTAGGCTGTCTCATTTCCAAATAAAAACCACCACCACACCTCTTAGATAATCCAAGTCAACCTAACTGTCTATTAGTTCACAGCAACCCCCCCCCAAAAAAAAAATTGGAAAAATACAAGGGCAGAAAGAACTGTGGAACCATGAGAGTGGGAGAGAAATAAATCTGTTTTTCCAAAGTTTGAAACCAAGCTCCTGTGCTTTAGTTTAAAATAGTCTTTTTATTAAAGATTGTTAAATACTACTTGGTGCATTTTTTCCCTCTTCCCCTTTTACAACAACAAAACTCCTCAGGCTTTCTGGATCACCTCAACATTTTTCAATGCTAATTTGATAATTCCGTGAACCTCAGCCCCATGACGCAGGGCCTTGGAACACTGTCGGCTTATGAAATGAGGGTTGACAGATCCTGAAGGTGACATGTGGCCTGAGAATGTTGCATGTGTTTATTTATTCATTTTATGAACTGTAGGAATGCCTGGTTTGGGCTTGTCTTTGGTGCTAAGGAAAACCCACCTGGGAGAGCTTTCTTTCTTCAATAAATTAAGATGAAACAGGGAGGGGGCCAGACACACGGCCAGGTTCATGGCCGTCATCTGATTCTCTTTCACCAAGTTGACGACATCATTCAGGAAGCACAGCAGCGTCTGCAGGACCTCCCTGTTTTCGTCAGCCAGCAGCAGGATGGCAGCCTGCACGGCCTGCAGCTGCTGTTCCTTGGGAACATCTGAGGAAAATGGGTGGCAGTCATTAGAGGAATAGGCGCTGGAAGAGCCAGTGGGGGAGAGCATGCAGGATGCACCTTCCTGACGTGAAGACACACTCAGAGACCTGGGTAACCACCACCTGAGTGGCAGCTGGCAGTACAGAAAGGGACTGCACAGGCTCACAGGCTCCATGGCCAGGCAGGGCTTAGGAAGGGCTGCCAGCACCTGGCCGGCGACCTGCACACTGTGTTTGCTTCTTTGGCATATCTATGGCTATATTAATAAGCCATCACTGGTCTCCACTGTCCTGGCTCAGGTTGGCGGCTGGCTGGGGTTCTGTCCGCCTGGCTTCCCTCTGGCCCACCCTCCCTGCTGGACAGTATGGGCAGCCCCTCAGGACACCAGCTGGGCATGGTAAGCCATGAGTGGGGTGGAGCTGGCTGGTCCTCTGGCCTCACTCTGAGAGGCTCAGCTCCTTGGTGGGAGGTCTGGTATATCTCTCCTTTCCTACAAGTCTCCCAGGACTTGGTTTGGAGGACACATGTGGAGACCCAGTGTCACGTGCTGTACAACACTGGGGGCTATGGAAATGAGGTTATGCCTGGGAAGGAGGAGCCAGGTTCCCTGAGGTTCTGGGGAATGTAGGCTCCTCTCAGCCCTGTTCCCCTGCAGGGTGGTGGGCGTAGGCTATGCAGGCTTCACAGGGAATTGGTCCCAACAATATCAAGTGAACTGCCAGGTGTTAGGTGCTGCATTTTACTGCCCTCTGTCCCCAGTGTGTTTATTTAGTGATGAGATAGGTCTGATTCCTTGCCCTCAGTCACATCACTCTGAAACACATAGTCTGGGACGTTCACTTTGATTAACACTGTGTCGTCTGTCTTAAGACACCATGTTCGGCAGCAGCGGTGTCCACATCAGGGTAGCTGTGCTCCCTTCAGGTGTGGGAAGACAACAAAAGAACTGGCAATTGTGTTAACGTTTTCCCTCATTCCCTGAACGTGCTGGCTGGGTGTGCTTTCTAATGTGCACGGTTATCACAGTATGTCACGTAGGTTTCTATTATCAGAAGTGAATACACACTCAGACGTTTACTCCTGGGGTGCATGATAAAGACACATTTGGAGCTTGCTGCTTCAAAGGGGCTTAGGAGTGACCTTCTGCCTGAGCCCTGAGTTTTCTGTCCTCTGCACTGTCAATGTAGGAGGATCTTCCATCCTGGGGCTGGCCACACTCCTGGCCTTGGCCAGCAACTCCAAATTCCCAGAAAAGTCTGGCCATTCACACAGTGTTCTGAAACCTACCCCACCTGCACCATGCGCATGTGTCATGGCTGGTTCACGAAGATGTGCCACTGTGTTAACATTATAGCAAAGCCATTTTCTTTTTTCTTGCTTAGGATGAAGCAGAAACAGATACTACTAATGATTTCAACTTGCAGGAGGCATTATAAATCCTACTTGAGCCACTGGACTGTTTCTAAATATGCTGTTGCAGGTCAGATGTCTAATGTGTGTGCACTACTTAGATTACTAAATCTCTCTTCTGTGCCAATACTTTTTCCCATACCATCATTTTTGAAGTGTCACCTGTCACCCCTATATTTGTCTCAATTTCCTTTCTATGCACTAATAGTTCCTTTTTTCCTCACAAAATATTGTCTGTTCATTATTTTCTACTAAAAATGCTTGACAAAGTCAACTCTTAATTCCTAAAGTCAGCATTTATTTGGGATCCCACCCTCTTTGACCTTTCTGTTACACCTCACACTGCCCTGGGCCCTGCCCCTCTCTTGGCTCTCAGGAGACTATCCAAGATCAAGTCCGCTTTTCTAAGTGCTGATAAGTTCTAACCATGTGGATGGCTGTTGGCACCTTAAAGTCGGCCTCCTGTGGATCCTGTACAACTCTTTCTTCCCTGCCCTAAATCAGCTCCCTTCTTCCCATGACCGTCCACGTTCTCTCAGTCATCAAGCTTTAAACTATTAGAGTTGTCTTTGGTTCTTCCATCCCTCTCCCTCCTGTAGACTGGTAGGCTTCAGGCACTTTCACTACCTACCCACCACTCCATGTGAGTCTATGAGTCTATGGGTTTAAACACGGTGGGGACAGAGGGCAGTAAAAAGTTTGAGGAAAGTTCAAGAAGTAGCATAGATGACAACAGAAGTGCTTGGAAGGATGCAGAAGGAATGGCCCCTCTGCCCTGGAGATCCTATTTCCAGTCTCACAGCTGGCAGTTACCACAGGTAATCCCAAGCCTCAGTTAGCATGGCGGCTCCCTGACCCCTTCTCACCATGTCCAGTATCCTTCTTATGGATTCTTGGGTCACAAGCACAGTGCTGACAGACTTAACTCTTGTGGAAGACACAAGGTTGGCCACCTGCTCAATATCCCCTTCCTCTCCCCTCCCTCCTCCATAAGAAAAGAGATGCTCTATTCAGGTGTGGGCTGCAGTGTAACAGGCAAACAAAATGAGCCCCTCCCTCAAACCCAGGGTGACCCACGCTGGCCTGAGCCAGAATGGCAACCACATTCCTCTTTCCAGTGGTTGGTTTAGGGGAGAAGTTGCAAAACAGGTCTGGCCAAGGGGACCAAGAAAAATGCTAAGAGCGTCTCCAAGGTTTATCTCTCTGATAAAAAGAGACAAGTGCCCAGGGAGATGGGCTTTCACTCCTTTCTTGCCTTTGAATATCATTTGGTGAAGATGTGATCCTGAGTTGTGACAGCCTCTGCTTGTGACTCTGAGGGGAAAGCCAGGAGAAGCCGACCTCAGCCCTGGAATCTCTCAACTGTGAAATTACTCAACTACAAAAAATTATTTCTTGTCATGTGAGATAATAAAACGTTTAAATAGTAGTTGGTTGGATTTTTGGTTCTGACTTTCCAGCTGAGAACATTATAGCTGGCATGTACCTCAGCCACACCCCAGGGCTCTCCAAGGCTTAATGAATCAAGTCTAACTCCTTGTCCTAACACTTAAGGTCCTTCCTTGTATGGTCCCCACCTAATTTTTCAGTGTCATTTGGTGTCACTTTTGCCACCAGGCCCTCATTGCTCATCTCAATCTCCTTGGACTCTTTTTTTTTTTTTTTAAACTTTTTAATGGACTTTCTGGTTGCATGGCAAGAATTTACGTTCACGCCTCATCTCCCTTGGCTGTAAGATCAGAGAGTGAGTCTCACCCATCCATGGGCTCTGCTGTGCTCAGCATGGTGCCCCAGCCACTCAGTAAATGTTTGCTCAGCTAAAATAAAGCCCTGCTTTGATTTAGCTTCCTGCTTGTGCGTCTCAGAAAGGGCCAAAGGCATTTATCTCTTGGAAATAATCTTGTCTTTAGCTTTAGACTAGTCTCAACTGTAACCCAAGAACTGATTAAACTTCCAAACCATAAGGGAGGCTTAATTGAAAAATGTGGTTCAATCTTTCATGGCAACATTATGAACTCTGTTTTGGGGCTCTAGCAATATATATCGTTAATTTGACTTAACCTATTCACTTTGAAAAAAAAATTATTTCATAGGTTGCCACTTTAATCTGTTTTTAACAGTGGTGCTGATAGCAATCCTTTTTGAGTTTGCAATATTATAGATTTCTTAAGTACATTTAGTACAGAATTATTTAGAGCACAGATCTTTAAACTGGACAAATTCCATGTCCAGATTCATTTCAGGTAGACGGTGTCTCTTGCAGAAAACTCAAAACCCATGGGCCAAGTGTTTTTTTTAAAAAATATTTGAACCTGAGACATTAAAATCATTCGTAATCTTAACATTATTATATCTAGAAAAGACTCATGTTTATTTCTAAATCTCCGTTGTAATTACCTTTAGTAGTCTATTCTTCTTAATTAATGGTTTTTATTTTCAAGGCTTATTTCAATTTTACAGGCTTTGCTGAGAACTACCAATTTAATATCACTTAAAAAATTCCAAGTGAAAATATGAATCAGTTGAATTAAGCTTCCATTTTTGGTTTGGTTACTTTTCACTAAGTAAAATACACTGCATTAACACACATTTGCTTTTTATTTCTAGTCACTTTCATACACGTGACTCTGAATTTCCTATAACCCAAGAATATGCTTTCAAATAAATTAAACATGTTTTAATAAATAGGTACATATAAAGTAACTTCTATTGTTTCCTTTTCATTTAAGATTTATTGTAAATATATTGAAAGTTCATTTTAGATTTTATACAAAACCCTATTGAGAAAGAACGTTTTGATGTTAAAAAGGTTATTTTCCAATGCACATAAGTGGCCT